GTAAAGACAAATGCAAAGCATTACACTTAGGAAGGAAAAAAATCAAATGTACAACAACAAAATGGAGAACAACTGACTAGCTTACTATAGTACAGCTGAAAAGGCTCTTGAGGCTATAATGGATCTCAAATTGAATCCAGGTCAAAAGTGTAATAAAGTTGTGAAAGACTAGTACCGTCGGGTTGTATTCACAGACGTATCAGTATGAATTACCCAAGAAGTAATTTCCTCCTCTCCTTAGCACTGATGAGGCCTTAGCTAAATTACTGTGTCCAATTCTGGGTGCCGCATTTTAAGATAGGTTGGAGAGAGTCCAGAGAACCACACCAAAATTGGTAAGTTAGAAAACCTGATCTATGAGTAAAAACTGGACATGTTTAATTTTGAGATAAGAAAACTGATAAGTCTTCAAGAATGCTAAGGGCTATTGCGGAAAGGGTGGTGATCAGTTCTCCATGTTTACTGAAGGTAGGACAGAAAATAGAGGGCTTAATCTGCAATAAAGCAAATTAAATACCCTTAAATTTTTAAGTTTTTACCGGGAACGCCCATGGTATGGAGAAGGAAGTGGCTCTGTGCGCTGCTGCTCCCTCTCTGCCCCCATCTGGGGGAACAGCAATTTGCAGAGCTGCTTTCCCTGAGGCTTTTCCCCACTGCTGCTATAGCAGCGGGTGTGTGTGTGTGTGTGTGTGTGTGTGTGTGTGTGTGTGCGCAGCAAGGAGAACAGAGTCACATGTGCCCCTGGATGCAAGGTGGCAGGTAAGCACCCCACCCTCAGACCTTGCATGCCGAGACTCTGCAGCGCCCTCCCTGGCTCAGCAAAAGCTTTAAGCTGACATTCTCTGTTCCCCAAGTTTGCTGGTTTAAAGAGGTTCGAGCATATTAGCAAAAACCTTTCTAACAGCAGGGATAGGTAAGCACCAGAATAGGTTTCAAAGGGAAGTTGTGAAATCTTTGGTTTTGGATATCTTTTTAAAGAACAGATTAGACAGATACCGATATGGGAGGGTACAGGTGTATTTGGTCCTGCCTCAGCCTGGAAGACTTCTCAAGGTTCCTTCCAGCCTTATATTTCTATATGTAAATCCACTTTATAATAGAACTCTTACCATCTATTGTGTAGGTCTTTTGGGATTAATAGGTGTTCTGTCAACAACAAAGTTTAATGTGTTACTGCAAATTCCTACAAATATAATTAAAAGATGAGGCAGTCTAAATTCCCTTCTCAGAAGGGCTCCTTCAGTTTGATGGCTAATGTGATTTGTTTTCCTCAATAAAAATGATCACTTAACCATATTTACTATGTCTTATTGTTTCCTAGTTTAATTTGAAAAACAAAGTCTTAACTTCTCTTAAAATGCAGTTATACTCTGAAATATTAAATGGAATTGTGTGGTTCCATGTTTGTGTCTTAGTAATTTTAATAACAACCTTTTTGAATTTACAAGTGAAAAGATTGATTTCCAAATGTCACCCATTGCCAACTCCACCTTGAACTTGAAAGTCAGGATTTTTTAAATTTTCTGACGTATTCATCGTATCATTATTAGTAAAAAAGATTATGTAATTGAAATTTAGTTTACAATGCTTTTTCTTGTGTGAATCAGAAAAATACCTCACCGTCCCATAGCTATGTTGACTGCAGAGCCATACTGAAGTAAAAATATATTTATGTCAGTAAATAGGCATGACTGAATATACACAGAGAACAGATCTGCTAAGAAAGAAGGTGTCATTTCTATACTGCTATTTTTCTGTCTACGGTCACATTGTACATTGTGTTATTTCATGGTTCATTAAAGCTGCATTTTAAAAGTCAGTTACAGAACCATTGGGATGGTCTCCCATTATATTATTCAATTATACACTCCTATTTCTCCATTGCTCCACACACATGCGTATCGAGACTAGTTATTTTTATTCAACCTGACCAGCTCAGATGATAATTGTATTATATATTTAATGTGATTGAGAACAATCTAATATCTGCAAGAAGACATGCCTCAATTTTTCATTCCCTTTGGTAATCATTCAGGATCCACAGGAAGCTGTTAATAGCATAATTTCAGTTGTTACTTTTTTGATACCTTACTTATACTCCATATTCATCTGTAAATCTATTAGTCACAGAAAAGTCTCCTATCAGTCACAGAATTTTGGGAGTGAGCTCTCTGGGGAGTTTCCAAAACAAAATTAAACAATGTCCATATGCCATCTAGCTATTTTTCTAGTTTAGTTTTTTTCTGGGCTGGACATACATGATTGCTTTTCTGATCTGTCAAGGGGTGATGAGGTGCCAAGCATAGGAAGTTAGAGGAGGTAGCTGATCTCTCCTGTGCTCTTGGTACTCCCCCTGTTGGATCTTAATGTCGTTCACAGTTCGTTCTTTGGATGAGGAGCCAGTATGAGTGTGGACTGGGATGAGGAGCCTTGGAAGGGGCGGGGACCAGAGTAGGACAGGGACAAGGATCCAAGAATGGTTTGGGGACACTGGAGCTTGGAGAAAGACAGATTGGAGTGGCCAGGATAGAGTGGGGCAGAGGCAAAAGGGTCTGTAATCACTACAGTACACTCACCTTATAGAGTCAGGAATAGAACCCTGAAATTCCTCAGTCTTGATATTCTTGTATTAGCATATAGCTGTGAAACCCCTTAGCTAAATGTGTGTCTCATCTTCTTATGGCTGGCCTACATTTACTTTGTTAGCTCAACTGGCAGAGGTCTGTGCTGTGGATATAATGGTTCTAGCCCTGCTGATGAGCCATGTGGGAGCAATGTGCCATTTAGATTGTGTGCTCTTTGGGCTAGTGATAGTAGTTTTGTTTTGTATTTATACAGCACTTAACACAGTGGGGTTCTGGTCCATGACTGGAGCTGCTTGTTATTACACTGAATTTCTGGGTTTTTTTTAGTTTATTTTTTTCTTAAATTTAGGAAATCACATGCAAAGAATACTACATTAAAAAGAATGGTAAGGTTGCAAATTTAAGCACTCAACTGTTAGGAAATGCCAGAATTAAGGTTGTCTGTTCAACTTAATTTGTCCTCTTGTTCATATGCATTTTGATAAAGTGTATAAATCCAAGATCACATTCTATTTTTTCCACAGGACCCCCATATTATTCAGTTGACAGTCTCAATGGTGCTCAATTAATAAATGACAGTTCAGTTTTGTTTTACCCTTGTGCATTGGGTGACCCATGCCTTATTTACGATCCGCTATTAATAACCTACTCTGAATGTACAATTATAAATTTTCTTATGGGCTTTTAGATGGAGCGCATCATTGTAGCATGGGAGTGCTTCAGAGAGATTAACTGATTTATTTTTACAACAGCATTGTAAAGTAAGGCAGCATTATACCTGTTTTACAGATGTAGAACTAAGGCAAAGAGATAATATCAATAGCGCACACCAGTTTTGGTGCTCATGGCCTGTTTTTTTTATACCATTTGATAGCATTTTGTTTATTCATAGCATCTCTCATTGACTTCAGTTGCTGTTGAGTGCTCAGCCTCAGACGTTTGATTAGGTATTTGTGTAGTGGTTCACAGAGTGCAATGCTGTTCTTGGGTATGTGCCCCTAGTTTCTACTTCTGTGCAAGTCATACAAATTATTAATACCACAGACAATTAATAATAATTAAAATAACGGTAGATAATATTAGTGAGTTTGTTGGAACAAGAAAATGTGTTTGTGAAATAGACAACAATTTGCAGTGCAGTGTTATTAGAGTAGGGCTCTACCAAATTTGTGGTCAAGGACTATTTTGTTCAGTTTTGTGGTCATAGAATTTTAAAAATAAAACGTCATTATTGCAGCAGTTTAAATTTTGAAATGCCACGGTGTTGTAATTATAGGAGTTCTGACTCAAAAAGGAGATGGTAGAGATTTGTAAAGTTTGTATATGGGGGTTGCAGTACTGCTACCCTTACTTCTGTACTGCTACTCACAGAAGCACTGCCTTCAAAGACAATGTCAGCAGCTGCTAACTGGGAGCCCAGCTCTGTAGGCAGAGACACTAGCAGCAACAGCAAGGAAGTAAAGATGGCATGATATGGTATTGTCAGTCTTACTTCTGTGCTGCTGCCTACAGAGTTGGACTCTCAGTTAGCAGCCACCTTTATAAGGCTGCCTAGCTCTGAAGGCAGCAGTGGAGAACTAAGGATGGAGTGGAATGGTATTGGCATCCTTCTGTGGTGCTGCTAGCAAAGCACTGTCTTCATAGCTGGGCTGCTGTTAGCTGCAACTTTCCAGCCACCCTGTTCTGAAGGCAGCGCGTATGTAAGTATGGTAATGCATAAACCCCTAGAACAGGGGTGGAGAACCTAAGGACTGGGGGCCAGATATAGCCCCCAGGTTGCTTGGATCTGGCCCCCAAGGCTCAGGGCTTCCCCCTGCCCCAACACTGGAGAGCGTGCAGTGGCACTCCAGCCCCCCTGACACCTCACCACCAGGCAGTAGCATACAAAATCTACTTGCCTGAGTCCCCCTACGCTCTGGTATGTGAGAAGAATGTGGGGAATGCCTCAGTCAGGGTCCACATCAGTGAGGGTTTGTTTTTCTTTTTTGGCTTCTTGCTTGTGTGGGTCCCAAACTGATTTTTCTATGGGTCAGCATCTCCCCACCCAAAAAAGGTTCCCCAGCCCTGCTCTAAAATAACTTTGTGACCCTCCTGCAACTCCTTTTTGGGCCAGAACTTTTAATTTGAGAAGTGCTGGTCTCCCCTGTGAGATTGGTATAGTATAGGGTAAAAGCAACACAAAGACCAGATTTCATGTGTTTTCTATGGCTTTGACTTTGGTGGGACCCTCGCTGTTAGTAAGATAGACTAAATGAAGATTTTTAGAGAAATATTATTTTTATCCTGATGTTGGTCCTCTATTCGTGGAAGAATAATCTTAAAACATTTGTGTATTTATTTATGAAAAAATAATTGTGAAACATACCATTATTAGTACAGAAGGTCAACATTTTTATTTTATTTTAATTCTTGTAGCCTTCAGGAAAAAGAACGGTCGCTCAGCATGTCCATTAAAGAAACAACTGCCAAAGTAAGTGCATATCAACTATCATTTTTTCAGTAATTTAAAAAACAAAGATAATGCATTACGTTTTAAAAGACAGAATATTACATTTAAAAGGCCAAATGTGTGGTATTTCTTCTGAGTATGTTTCACATATACATATTCTTAATATCTATTTAAAAAAGAACTCTAAACCAGGTCAAGACATTAAAATGCTTATGGGTCTGCCAAAGGAATCAGGTAGAATGGTTGTTTACTTGTAATATTTCTTGGTCCATGTTCACAAGAGAAACCAATTTGTTGACCTCTACTTAGAATAGAGCTGTCAGCTTTAAGAAATGAAACTGAAATCTGGTCACAATTGAATGTCTTCATTATCAGGAGAAAAGAGCCGTACTCTCATATTGGTTTTACTGGTGGCAAATCCAGAGGAATGCCATTCAAGTTAGGGATGTTACTCAGCATTTACAGTTGTGCACATGGAAATCAGTCAGGCCCAGGGTAATTATGATAAATTAATTACCTTTTCATCCCATCTGGGTAAATTTTAGATATACTCACACATATTATTAAAAATTGTCACATAATGCATAGTAGTTTCCTGGATACTTAATGGACCTAGTAGGGGCGAGGCCTCGGAGAAGGGGCAAGCAGAGTGGTTCTGCCTTGCATTTTGGAGGGTCCTGCAGTGGCCACTCCAACTGTCCTATGGATGGGCTGGTCCCCCATATTGAGGATAGTGATAGAGCCCAGGGAGGCCTGGTGGATTACTGGGAGACCTGGGGCTGGCTTCAGGAGTCAGCCCTTCACCCTCACATGCACTGTGGTGGTGGGAACCGCAGGAAGTGGAGTAACATAACAGCCTGCTCTGCTGCCACTTCCAACTGGGTCACTCCACTTTCTGGTGTCGTGGCCTTGCAGACAGGGAAGGGGCGGGGCAAGGGTGTTCGGTTTTGTGCATATACTTGGTTTTTGAAGTTTATGCATGATATCTGGTTTTGCATTTGTGGCCAATAATGTCTAGCAAATGTAAATACTTTAGACTAGGTTTTTTTTGCAGGAAGTTTTTTGTACTTCTCTCACCAAAGGCATAAGTCCTCTGAGCATTGTAAATATAAAGGACAGGAGGGGTCTGAAAAACTCATGTTGTTGAAAAACTTTATTGTGGTAGTAATTTAGGTTTTATTTTTTCCTAACCAAGTATTGGCTGTTAATGTAAAGTATTGTTCCTGACACATTTCTTGGCTTTTACTTAATAAAGTTCAAAATGTATGGTTCTCTCCATTGTGTTGGTTTGCCTCTGCCTCTCTTCACTGCAGGCAAAATCTAGCTGAGGCCTCAGTCATTGCACACGTTTCCACCTGTTATAGTTCTTCACCCTCAGAAAATTATTGGCTAATTTAGATGGAATGCAGAAAAGAAAGTAGTGTGTAGTATCTGGAGACTGGGAGAAATTAAATTATGTAGAGCAGTGACTAGAAATATGTGCATTACAATTTAATAGGAAGATTTAGAAAGGGGTTCTATACGAATACTGACAGCTTGAAGGATGGTTTTATTGGCTAAAAGAATAGCTGGCCCAGTTATGATTAACAGATTCTTTTAGCTGAAATAAAGGGATATATGTAATAAGTGGAAAGAGTTTCAAGCATTGTAGTTAATTTTATATAGTTAAAATAAGCTTCCTGAATACATCTGGTGATAGTGTAAAAAATATCTGGGTGCGATGTATAATTAATTTACTACTAACAGACCGGGGTGGCCAACCTGTTAGAGACAAAGAGCCAAAATAGCAGTGGATAGAGTGCAAAGAGCCGGATAGAGTGCAAAGAGCCACATAGAGGGAGGAGGGAGGGGAGATTTCTTGAGGAAAAAAAGAACAAACAAACCCTGCACTGGGGGAAAATAGGTGCCGGTACACCATCCCACGGCATACCATCACAAAAAAAGCACTGGGAAGGGGTGAGAGGTGCAAGGTCTGGCAGGGAATTTGTGTGCAGGAGAAAGTAGAGAAGAGGATGCTGGCTTGGGAGGGAGGGGGAACTGGAGAGTGGCTGGAGAGTGTTGGGGTCAGGTGGAGGGTTGGGGTGCCGAGCAAGCCGCAGGCTTGTGGCTGTGAGGGTGCAGGAGTTTGGGCTGGGATGCATGAGGGGCTCAGAGCAGGGAGGCTCGGAGTATGATGGGCTCAGGACACAGATTTGCAGTGTGTGGATGGTGCAGAAGTGTTGTGGCAGAACACTGGAGATGTGGGGGTGCAGGAGTTTGGGGATGTGAAAGGCTCAGGACAGGGGGTTCCAGTGTATGATAGGCTCAGGTTTGGAGTCTGGGAGGGTACAGGAGTGTTCTGATGCTACGGCCAGATGGGGTCTTGGCCCCAATTGGGGGCTTGTTGGCCAGGCTTCATTGTTAAATAAAATATTATGTCAAACACAAAATGTTTCAGAGTTGTCTTTATTTATGAGAGGGCAGGGAACCTGTTTTGAGTCAAGGGTCACTGACTCAGTCAGGGCCACACAAGTGTGATGCAAAAAAAAACCCCCTCCAAACCCCTCCAAGCCTCACTAATGTGGCCCCAACTGTGCTGGTGGGGGTGGGTACAGGGTGCTGGTGGGTGCTGGGGCAGGGTACTCGTGGGGGGAGGGGTAGTCTGGCCAGGGGGAGGATACAGAGACAGCTGGGGCCAGTACCTGGGGATCCCGGGTCTCATGAAGCACACTGGCTGCTCTTCCCTTCCCCTTCCCCCAGCAACCCTCCACTCTAACCCAATCCCCCTCTCTTCCCCAGAGCCAGGGACCACCCCCCCTCTAACCCAGTCCCCCTCCCCCTCAACTTAATTCGCGGGTCCCAGAGGTAGACTCCACTGCTACAGCCACGCTACAGCAGCTGGCCTTGAGATGTGCTGGTTGGGAGGCTGTGTGCACCCCCTCCCCAAACCAATCCCCCTCCCCTCCCTTTCCCCAGACTCCCTTCCCCTGCTCTAATAGAGTTCCCCCTCCCTCCCATTCTAACCTAATTCTTGGGTCCCGGAGCTGCCACCACCACTACAGCTGTGTGTCTCCCTCCAGGTGCTGGGGCACGTGCGCTGAGCATCTGGCATGCCATGCGCACCCCCCAACTCAATCCCCCTCTCCTCCCACAGAGCCAGACACCTCCCCTCCCTAACCCAATCTCCCTCTTCCCCCAGTCTTATGCTGGGGTCTTGGAGCCAGAGCCGCTGCTACCGCCATGTGCCTCCAGGATGCCATGCGCACCCCCCCACACCCAATCCTCCTCCTCTCCCCTTCTCTAGAGTCAGGCATCTCCCCCCACTCTAAACCAATTTCCCTCTTCCACTAACCTTATGCCCAGGTCCTGGAGCCCCTGCTGCTGCCTGTGCTCAGCAGCTGGCTGCTAGCATATGCAGGATATGACACAGTGTGCTGGGGGCTGTGAGTGGAACAGTGCGGGCCATGAGCACACATGAGGCTCACAACGGCCCAGCCGTGAGAGCGGCTGACCTGAGCGGTTCCGGGTTCCGTCCTGGTTCCCTCAGGAGCCACAATTTATGCAGCTCGTGAGCCGCAGATTGGCCATCGCTGTAATAGATAATCTATGAGAGTCCTGTAACAGATAGCTCTGTGTGTGTGTGTGTGTGTGTGTGTGTACATGTCTCTCTCTATATACAGTAATACTAGTTTAACACGTGCCCGCTTAACACGTTTTGCACAATAGCACAATATTTTTTTTTAGGGAATGTTTTTCGAATAACATGACCATCCCTGAAATAACACAAAAATAATCAAGTGGCAGACTACTTTGCATGGCGGTATAAGTTGGTGAAAACAGGGTAATACGTATGAGCGGATGAATACATGTGGTCACAGTGCTCTTCCACGTGTTTCTTTGTGTTTTAAGAAACCGCGGCGACTTGTGTTGCTAGTTATCTTGTGTTACTAGATATCTAATGTTGATGTTGACAACCCAGCACCAACAAAAAATTGACTTTGCCACCACCACTGCCTGAAACGCAATCCCCACCTTTTCCATTATTTTTAATGGGAAAATTGACCCCGCATAGCATGTTTTCACTTAGCACGAACATTTTCAGAAATGCATCTATAGTGTTAAATGAGGAATTATTGTGTGTGTGTGTGTGTGTGTGTGTGTGTGTGTGTATATAT